CAGGGAGATTCAGTATCCAACCTTACAAAGGAGAGCTGAGAGAGTGCTTGTTGGTCCAGTTTCTGTTTCTGCTTTGACTTAACTGAAGGCGGATTCACAGAGGGATGAGCTCGGTCATTTGGAAGGTGGCAGGAATTTTTAAGGCAGCTTAATCCACGTTGGGAATTCAAGTTTCCTTAGGACAACAGTACATAGCTGTTGAGATGTTTTGCTGTTGATTGACCTGGTCTTGACAACTTCAATTGGCAGACCCCTTTGTTTCATCCCTCTCTTCTTCCCTTATCTTGGCTTATGTAGTAGTCGTGTAATCCTGAAAGTGTGGGGAGGTAAAATTGATTTCTGCTTTTCAGTTTGATTTGTAGGAACTTTGTTTTTGTTAAAAGTAGATTTCAAACTCATTGATTCAACAGATTTGTGAGTGCTAGACTTTGTCAGCTTGCAGGGATGCAACAATCAATAACAGCTGCAGTCATGAGCCTTAACCAGCTAGCTGGGCAGTGGTAAGTGCTGTGTTGTTTTTAAGTGCCGTCAAGTAGGTTCTGACCCATGGTTACACTGTGTAGGGTTTCCGAGGAGCTGCTGGTGAGCTTGAACTGTGCATTAACCCACAGTGCCACACCAGGACTATAGCGAAAAGTAAAGCAGAGGAAGGGTTTTGGGGGTAGTTGTTTTCCATAAGGTGAAAAGAGAAGGTCACTCTAATGAGTGGATATATTAGTCAGGCGGTTATCCACATAATCAGGCAGAACAGCAAGTGCAAAGGCCCTGAGGTAGGATCATGACTGGTGTGTTCTGGAATGGAGTAAGCAAAATGGAGAATTCTAGGAGGTGAGTTCAGGAACAAAATTAAACGGATTCACCCTACTCACTGAATAAGAGATACATGGATGAATATATATGGTGGGGCTTCAGAAATGTGGAAAAATTCATTATCTTTTCATTCTGATTCCTCATAAACTGTTTGAAACCCCTTTGTGTTTTTTAATCACAAAACCAAGAAGACTAAGGAAAAGTTTTACTTATTTGATAATGTAAACATGAGAAACTTCTTAAGATGAAATCTGAAAACGGAGAAAATATTCTTAATACGTTGCACAGTTTTGTTACGTCCAAACAGTTCTTAGAAATAAGGAAAAGAAAAACTAATTGAAAAAGGGAGAATAAAATGGAGCAAGAAATACACAGGAAGGAAAACTGGCCAAGAAATAAATTCAGAAACAATTCTGTTGTTAATTAAATAGAAATCAGAGCAAGGATATGCTCGTTTTATCTGTCAGATAGTCATCAGTTAACCAGATGGGTAATATCCAAAAGGCCATTGAAAACAAATGGACTGCAACGCTGTTAATAGAAGAAAATTGTACAGCTTCTTTGGAGGGCATTTTCATTATGGCACTTAGCAACGACAAATGACATTTAAAATTCAGGTTTCCTTAGAATAGCAGCTTTGCTTTTAGTTGTTGATCTATAGATAAAACTTGAGTACAGAGGAGTACCTAATGGAAAGTAACTGTGACTTACCCTATCCCTTGGTTCTTCTTCCATTGTTGTTAAGTGCCTTCGAGTCGGTTTCGACCCATAGCGACCCTGTACAGGACAACCACATTATCCCTTGTCTGTTAAGTCTCCTTTTTGTTCACAGTTAAAGAATCCACTGCTGTGGAGTTAATTCCTGCTCATAGTGACTCTGTAGAACCTCCCCATAGGTTTTCCAAGGCTGTAATCTTTACAGAGGAGTCCTGGTGTGGCTCAGAGGGCTAATGCGCTGGACTGCAAAGTTGGTTTGAACTGCAAGGTCAGCGATTCAAGCTCATCAGCCACTCCTTGGAAACCCTATATGGGGTCACTGTGGGTTGGAAGTGACTCAACGGCACTTAACAACAACAACAACAAATCTTCATAGAAGCAGACTGCCACATCTTTCTTACTGCCTCATCTTTCTCTTGAGAGGTAGCTGGTGAGTTCAAACCACCGACTTCTCAGATGACAGTCGAATGCTTAAGCATGGTGTCACCTGAGCTTCCTATAATAATGTTAGCACATTAGGTACCAGTTAGTTCTGCAGTTTGCTTTTTTTTTTTTTTTTTCCATTTAATATTGTATCTTGAAGTATTTGTATATCTACACATAACTTTGTTTCAACTTTTCTCATTGATTACATTGAATTCCATCATGTGAATGAATCCTTATTATTTAGTACGATAGAAAATTTCAAACATGTACAAGTGTAGAAAGAAAAGTATAATGACCACTGTGCATGCACCCATCAGTCAGCGTCACCTAATTATTATATTAGTTCATGACCAACTGGACTCCTCATTACCTTTAACTGTTACCTACTCGCAACTTCTGGGATATTTTGAAACCAATACCAGACATCATATTTTATATATTCCAGACATATCTCTAAAACATAAGCTTTCTCTTGTAAGTTATACATTTAAAATTTATATATGTGCATTAAAATTGACTTTTTTTGCGTGTACAGTACTGTGAGTCTCAACATTTCTAGATTAGTGCCACTAAAATCAAGATATATAACACTTTCGTCACAGAGAACTCCTGTGCTGCTCTTTTGTAGTCAGTGTTGGGTAACTGGGAAAAGAGCAAACTATCAGAGATTAAAGGGGAATAGGAGAATGTTTCAATTTGGCAGGAAACCCTCTGGTTTGGAGATCAGCCCTTGTGGTGGGTGCTTGGTGTACTCGATAGATCTGCCTTTAGCTACTGGGACTGATGCTAGCCCTACTTAGTTGACATCCCTCTTTGGGGATTGTTCAAGAGAGTAGCTTTGGCCAAAGTCATGCCCTTCTTAGGGCGGTCAGCTTCCAGTGACTGATCTTTGCAGAGTTGTGAAGATTTGGCCCCTAACTCTCAAGGGCCTTCCTAATGCCTGAACTCTTGTGATTTTGGCTGAGGCCTTAGTGGGTCTGCTTCACAGTTCCACTTTTCTCTCTGCCCACTCCTTCCTTTCCTTCTACAAATGTCTCCCTGAAAGCACTCCCGAGTAAACACCATCTGTGTTCATCTCTGAGTCTGCTTCCCAGAGAACCCAACTTAAGGATATGGTTTAGTTAATTGGAAAAATCTATAAATACCAAGCATGAAAATGGATTAAGCTTTAAGAGTATTTTATTTTATATATTAGTCTATATATAAGGAGCTCTGGTAGCGTAGTGGTTGCGAATCAGGCTGCAAACCTTAAGGTCAGCAGTTTGAAACTACCAGTTATTCCGTGGGAGAAAAATGAGGCTTTCTGCTCCCGTAAAGATTTACAGCCTCGGAAACCCTGTACAGGGTCGCTATGAGTCGGAACTGACTCCATGGCACATAACAACAACATGTATCCGTCTAGGAATATTATGTTTGGAATAATATGTTTCAGAAGCAAGAGTTGAAATTATTGAACATGCATGTCTTATACTTTTCTTAGACTTATGAATCTAAAAGAGATGTCATATAATAGGAAAAAAAAAAAAAGTGAATGCTCATTCCTGGATCAGAGCCCACAGAACATGAACTGCATGTTTGGTGTTTACAAAAACGGCTTATGTTAATCCGGGCTCTTCTTTTCTTTAATAGAACCACAGAATAAGAGAACTCCAGACTTGCCTGAAGAAGAACCTCAGGAGGAAAAGCTCAAGGAGAATGAAGAATCAGTCAAAACGATGCTTATCGAAGCCACCCGGGAGTTTGAGGAGGTTGTGGTATGTTAATTAGACATATTAATCCTTCACTTCCATTTGCTCCTTTGAAAGTAATCATCCCATGCACCCTTTCATGCACTGAAGGCCCAGAGGAGTAAGAGAGGGGTCAAGAGGGAGGAGGAAAATGAAGAGTGAGGCTGATCTGGGGCCCAGGCAGGAAACAGTAAGTCTTTGGAATGCCGATTTCAGAAGGTGGGGAGGAAGTAAAATCAGGCAGAATAGGATCAGTTCTATTTAAGCAGTATGTTTTAATGGAATTTCTTGAACATAAATGTAACTTAAAAAGAAGATTATAATGATTTTTTTTATCAAGCAAGTTTAGTTTTTTACTTGGAGGTTTTGGGGGGAATGCTTTAACTCTTCCATATTCAGTCCAAAACCAAAAAACCAAACCCACTGCTGTGAAATCAGTTCTGACACATGGGGACAGAGTAGAACTGCGTCCTCAGGTTTCTGGGCTGCGAAGCTTTCAGGAGCAGATAGTCTCATCTGTCTCCCATGGAGTGACTGGTGGGTTTGAACTACAGACTTTGAGTTAGCAGCCCTTCACTTAACACATTGGACCCCCAGGGCTCCTGTATTCAGTCTGCTGTTGCTGTTAAGTGTCATCGAGTTGATTGTGATTTACATAAGTTCCGAGGAGAGCTGGTGGGTTTGAACCACTGACTTTGCATTAGCAGTCCAGATTTTATCCTACAGCGTAGCACCAGCACTGTCAAAACAGTATGTGGCAATAGCTATGGAGAAAAGTGGGAAGCCATAAAATAATGACTTATTATTACTTTATAAAACTTTTTATTGCAAATTGAGTGAAGGTTTACTGACAAGATCAGCAGTTTTACATTCAAGAAATCATACAGTTTGTTTCAACTCAGTGTTTGCAATTTATGATGCTAATTTTTTTAAAAAAAAAATCCGTTATGTGTGCATTGCTTCTTCTAGCCAAAGGACCTTGGGAATTAACTTTTTTTTACTAACAAGGAAAAATGGCTTGGCTTCAGTCTGAACAATGGAAACAATGTAAAACTTTGTATTGGTGAGTGGAGGAATGTGCAAGAATTGACACGATTTAGGGATTTGTTCCCTTTTTCTAATCTGCCTTTTGGTTATTATTTAATATTTGGTTCATTTTCCATAAACTGTCAAATGCTCTCAACATTCCTCACAGTGGCACGCGTAGGTTTCTTCTCACAGGACGTGCTTTGTAATGTGCCTATGTGTAGAATAGCTTGGAGATGATAATGTAGGGTTTTTAACAAGTTGTTCAAACTCACCAGCCGCTCCTTGGAAACCCTATACAGGGTCACTGTGACTCAGAACTGACTTGATGGCACTTAACAACAATGCAGGGATTGGTAGGAACTGGGGATGCAGTGATGAGTAACAACTTGTGATTTTTCCTCTTGTGGAAACTGCATTCTGGGATTAAAGTTAAACCTTTAACAAATAATCTAATGACTACATCTTTGCATACACATGTGTTTATACACATATATTAGTTCTTCCATATTCACTCTAACTATGAATGTTCTTTTGGACTATCACACCTAGGTGCGTGCATGCATACATAAACACTTATACACACATGTATGTATATATGAGGGGACTTGAAAATGTTCATCAAAAAAATAATGAAATTTTTCCATGAACTTTTTGAAACCCCCTTGTATATACACACATGCACGTGCATGTATAGGCTGTGTGCCATCCAGTTAACTCTGACTTATAACAACCCTGTGTCAGAGTAGAAGTGCCCCATAGTGTTTCTTAGACTGTGGTCTCTATGGGATTAGATCACCTGGACTTTTCTCCAGTGAAACTGCTGACCTCTTGGTTAGCAGCCGAGTGTCACCCGGGCTCCGTATATTCGTGTATACACATGTGTACACAAGCACAGTCAACACAGACAGATGTGGAAGAAGGAACAGAACACACTAGCAGAACCAAAGAAAGATTAAAGGGCAGAGTAGTAGTTAGGTTGGAAGATAGCAGATCTTAACAAGAGGTCAAGAATCCATGATTTGGTCCTTAGGAATTGTTCTTATCCGTTACTTTCTCTAGGAGGAGAGTGAGAGCCCTGGCTTTGAAATACATATAACAATGTGTGATGACGACCCACCCACTCCAGAGGAGGATTCAGAAACTCAGCCTGATGAGGAAGAAGAAGAAGGAAAAGTTACTCAACCAGAGGTGGGAGCTGCCGTTAAGATCATCCGGCAGCTAATGGAAAAATTTAACCTGGATCTATCAACAGTTATACAGGCCCTCCTTAAAAATAGTGGTGAGCTGGAGGCTACTTCCTCCTTTTTAGAGTGTGGTCAGAGGGCTGATGGGTATCCCATTTGGTCCCGCCAAGATGACTTAGATTTGCAGAAAGATGATGAAGATACCCGTGCTGCATTGGTTAAAAAGTTTGGTGCTCAGAATGTAGCCAGGAGGATTGAATTCCGAAAGAAATAATTAGCAAGATGATGAGAAAAGAAAGCAGGTGAGAAATCCTAACAAAACAACAGTTGTGATCGTTGGACTTTGGAGAGTTCATACGTTGGGACTAGCACTGCCTTCTGACTAGTGCTGCCGCTGCTCTCTGAATCCTTGATTTTTGTAGCCACGGAGAGTTTGTAGGAGGCTAACAATCAAAGAAACTGGATGTATTTAGAACTATAGTAGGCAGGTGGGATAGTTACATTGCTGAAAGGGAAAGCTAAACCAGAGAGAGGTTGGTCTGCTTGGTGGTAGTAATCCTTTGCTGGGACAGAACCCCTGCTGTATTGCTTACTAGAACCGGTGACACAGTCAACGGAGGGAATCTTAGAGTTGCAGATCTATTCAAGTAACATGAGTAAGAAACTTTGTATTCCTTGGCAGAAGCTTCTCTTGGCAGAAGCTTCCTTCTCTTGTCTCGTATCACGATCCTCTAGATCTAGATCTAGATCCTCTAGATCGTGACAGATTCCAAATGAAGAATCTATAACTATAGAAAGATATAATTATGAAGTCTAGAAAACATGGGTAGTCCCAAACCTTGGCATCTCTGGTGCATGTTCCAGTGAGCTGTGATTCTAGGTTACTTTTGGAATCCCACATTGTCTTTGCTAACTTAATATCTGTGGACTGTGTTTCTTGGCTGTTCTTTGTGTCCTAGTTACTCAAGTCTCTTGCATGTGTTTCTTTACTACCACTCAGTTTTGTTTAAAACACATGCAGAAAAAACCTTAGGTTCTCAAAAACAATGTATTCCTTTAATAGTATGTGTTCTTTTTCAAGGGTAGTTTTGTGCTAGACTGTGTTAGATTTAAAAATTAACAAATTGGTTTCCATTTGTTGTGTTTCTTTCATTATTGAAAATAAATATATCTTTGTATTTGTGTCTTTAATAAATGTTTTACTTTTTAGTATACACAAAACCTTTTAGGTATAGAAACCATAAAGGAACTAATATTCTGTACTGTTACTAATTAAAACATAAATTTCAATTTTTTATTAATTAAAAACAATTAAGTTCCATTTTAGAACTAGTGTTAAGTGCTGCCAAGTTGGTTTGGACACATAGCGACCTTGTGTAGGGGTTCCAAGGAGCAGCTGATGGGTTTGAACTGCTGATCTTATGGTTCACAGTCCAGTGCTGATCCTACAGCGCCACACCAGAACTAATAAGTGCACGTTCTGGATGGAGCAAAGAGAAGAGCTGGCTCAAGGACTGTGAGAAGTGGCTGAAAATCAGCCTCATTGGTAAATTCCATCTGACCTCATTAACAGCGTTGTTGTTTTGTGCCCTCTAGATGGTTTGACTCTTCACCCTATATGGGGTTTCCTCTGCTGGGTATGAACGACTGGCCTTGTGGCTAGAAGTCCAGTGCTTATCCTTCAGAACCACACCAGGACTTCTCGTTAACATTATAGAAGGGAGAATTTACAACACATAGGATGATTACATCAGATCAGATCGCATCATGGGAGATGATTGCATTTTATTAGAGCTTATGGTAGCTCTGGTAGCGTAGTGGTTATGAATCAGTCTGCGAGCCGCAAGGTCAGCAGTTCAAAACTACCAGCTGTTCCATGGGAGAAAGATGAGGCTTTTTGCTCCCGTAAAGATTTACAGCCTCGGAAACACTGTACAGGGTCACTATGAGTCGGAACCGACTCCACGGCACGTAACAACAACAACATCATGGAAGTAATAACTACTACCTCTTAACTGCCTAACCACTGAGAATGAAGACCCAGGTAAGTAAGTACAAACCTTTATTATCATATGCAGCTTCCTTGCTGACCAGGTATTTGAAATTTATATATTGAGTAGGATAATTGTTCCCATGCCATCTTTTAGAGGTCCCTTGGAGTCCTAGTGTGGCATTGTGGGTTAATGCACCAGACTGCATAGCTGTTTGAACTGCAAAGTCGGAGGTTCAAGCTCACTGGCCACTCCTTGGAAACCCTATATAGGTTCGTTATGGATCTTCGTTGATGGCACTTCGCAACAACAACCCAGCCATATTCAGCACAGTTGCCCTAGTGGTAATCTGTTAAGGAAAGTGCTCTGCAGTTGCTTCCTTCTCTTGTCTTGTATCCCTACTTCCCTGCCTCTGCATTCGAGAGTCGTTAGTTACACGGATTCTTTTCTCAGGGTCCTCTTCTGAGGGAACCCAGCTTGAATGAAAGTCCTTAACCTTCTTTCTTCAGCATGGGGAAAGGGTACAACACACTCTCAGCAGTAATTGTAGCTCATGACAGTAATAATTTTCAGGTGAGTTGGGAAGGATTGATGGTGGTCATTTGTTTAAAATATATTCCCTTCCATTCTGCTAAGACTTTAGGGTGGTTGAAAGTTACTACTTTAGAGATGACTTGGAGAGGTTACCGAGGATGTTTACATTTTTGTATACATTATAAGCCAGTAATTTACAAACTGGCAGAATTTCTCTGATCAATTCCATCTCTTCTGGGAGATGTGTGTGGAAAAACAAATGATCAGAAGTATTCTTGAAAGCAGAAATTAAGACAATCGTTGTTGTTAGGTGCCATTGAATAGGTACAACCCATAGCTACCTTATGCACTATGCACAGCAGAATGGAACACTGCCCAATCCTGGGCCAACCTCACTACTGTTGCCATGCTTGAGTCTATCGATGCTGCCACTTGGCCAGTCCATCTCGTTGGGGGTCTTCCTCTTTTTCTCTGACCCTCCACCTTACCAAACATGAGATCCTTCTCCAGTGACTGTCCCTCCTGACAATATGTCTGAAGTATGAGAGACGAAGTTTGGCCATCCTGGCCTCTAAGGAGCTCTCTGGCTGCACTTCTTCCAAAATGAATCTGTTGGTTATTTTGACAGCCATGGCACTTTCAATATTCTCCTCCAACACCATAAGTCAAAAGCATCAATTCTTCTATGGTCTTACTTATTCACTATCCAACTTTTGCATGCATATGAGGTTATTGAAAATACCATGGCTTGAGTCAGATGCACCTTAGTCCTCAAGCTGACATGTTTGCTCTTCAATACTTTAAAAGGGTCTTGTGCAGCAGATTTGCCTAATGCAATACGTTGTTTGATCTCTTGACTGCTGCTTCCGTGAGTATTGAAAGTTAATCCAAGAAGTATGAAGTCCTTGACAATGTCAATCTTTTCTCCATTGATAAGAATGTTACTTATTGGTCCAGTGGTGAGGATTTTTGTTTTCTTTACATTGAGATGTAATCCATATTGAAGGCTGTGTGTTCTTTAATCTTCATCAGTAAATGTTTTAAGTCCTCTTCACTTTGATCTTAATGGCTATTGTCATTGAGCTATGACTGTATTACCCAAAGAACAGCTGTTCGTGCTGAAATCAGGGTAACTCTAACTGCCAGATTCTTGAGTTTAAGGTCCATCTTTCCTAGACTTCATGAGTCTGACACTGGTGTCCTGCTTGTGCGCTGGAAGCATCATTTCTCTTTCTTTTTCTTATTCTGGCTCTTTCTTAGCATTCTTCCTCCATCCCTACTTTTTATTCCAGCTTTTAGACATTTTCTAGGCCTCCCACAACTTGTCCAGCTGCTTTCGTGGTGGAAACATTCCTATCTATCCCCTCTTACTCTTTTTTCTGGTATTCGCCTTCCTCTGTTCCTTTTAAGCAGGTGTGGTTGAGTTTGAATAATTCAAGTTATCCTGTTGCTCATTCGATTTTGGTCTGATGCTATTTGCTGGATCATAATACCTACCTGCTTGTGTCAGTAATGGTATATTTAGCTGAGTGTGACAGAAAACTGAGCACTAAAGGACTTTTAACAGAGACTATCTTGTACGACAGGATGTTCTGTCTCCTGTAAGATGCCTCCACTTTAGTTCTAGTGGAGTCCTGGTGTGGTGCTGTGGGCTTGTGGCCTGGACGACTACAGGGTCGGCAGCTCAAGCTCACCAGCCGCTCCTCAGAAACTCTGTACAGTGTCACTGGGTTGAAACTGACTCGACAGTACTTAACAACAGCAACATAGTTTCAGCAGTCAAAAAAGGGTGATTTTCACCAAGGTGTAGCCTTTATTAGTGTGCAAACCTTTCTCAGAACCCCTTCCCCACAGACTTCTCATTGGCCAGAATTATGATGTGTGCCCTTCTTAACTAAGTTCCTAGTGGGGGAAATGAGATTCCCTTGTTAGGCTTAGGTTAAAGTTCTATCCTGGGCTAGAAACACCTGCTTTTCATCAACATGGATTGGTTCCGAAGACCAGGTTACTGTGTGAAAATTGGCTTTATGTGAAGATAGTGCTTGCATCATTGTATAGCTGCCAAGTGACACTATTACAGAGTGATTACATAACTCAAACCATTGAGAATCTTGGTCCAGTCAAGTTGACACATCACCATCAGTGCCAGCATTATTCTCTTCCCTCACTCCTTGGCTTTTGTTACTGACAGACAGACATCATGATTTTGCAAAGGAGAATAGATTTCTACTATTGTCATAAATTCACAGTGTCATAATGAGATAGGAAATTAGTGAAGAGTGGGAGCCCTGGTGTGGCACTGTAGGGTAAGCACTTGACTCTGAACCATGGGGTTGGCAGTTCAAACCCACTAGTCTCAGAAATCCTGTACAGAGCCATGGTATACCTATTACATGCACTTACACTATTATTTACCTGGATAGGAACTGGAGCCATCCTTGAACTCCCCTTGATCAGCCTGGTGTTTTTCTGGTTGCCATGGGTGCAGCAGATTCTGCTTAGCTATAGCTCTTTGTGGTTCCCATTGACTAGGGACTTCTGGTGTGGTGCTGTAGGATCAGCACTGGACTGCAAACTACAAGGTTGGCACTTCAAACCCATCAGCTGCTCCTTGGAAACTCTATACAGGGTCGCTATGAGTTGGAACCAACTCGACGGCACTTTAACAACTCTATAGAATAATAATAACATCCGTTATAACCCAAAGGAAGTAACTATTGGCAGGACTTTAGTTTAAATGTAGTTCAAG